GAGGAGGAGGAGGAGGATTGAACAGCTGCCGAAGGGGGGGCTTCAAACTCCTACATTTGACGCCCTTTGCTGCTTCATCACCCCAGTCCCCCGGTCCCTGGTCCGTTTGAAACCTGCCCGTGGTGGGTTTTGCCCCGGCCTGCCTTGCTGTGGATAACGGGAGAAACGCCCTGGGCAGGGCCCTCCCCCGGGAATGCTCCATCCCCGGGAGCTCCTGCGAGCTCCTGCACCGTGTCCCTGCAGTTCTCCGGTGCACCGTGTCCCCGAGGCTGGGGCGGTGGGAGCCTGACCCTTCCTGCAGGTTTACCTCCCAGGAGTGAGCAAGTTGGAGCGCTGAGGGCAGGAGGTGAGAAGATCCATGTCCAGGAAACTCCACTGGTTACACAGCGGTGGACGCTGGGCTCATCTCCCAGGGAGTTCCTGTGGGAGGGGAGGGAATGGCTCCTGATAATTATCCAATGGAATGAAAAAGAGGAAACAAAACCAAAAGTGGCCTCTGAGGAACAGTGGTTTCAGACTCCCATGTGTGGCCTGAGGGGTTCTGTGCAATTGAGGCCTGAGGAGCAGCTCCCTGGGGAGGTCCTGCTGAGCAGGAAAGGAGGAGCTGCTGAAGAGGCACCTGGCTGAGGCTCATAGAAGCCCTGCGTAGGCACGTCATTCCTGCCCCTGGGCGAGGGAAATGTAGTGTTTGAAATGGTAAAAATTCCCAGAGGTAAAAGCCTGGCTGAAGGCACAGGTGTCTGCTGGCAGCGACCTCTAGCACTCTTCCTTCCTTCCCTTCCTGGCTATACCATGCCATGCACCTCCTTAGGTCCAGCAGACAGGAGTTACAGAGTATTCCAAGTTGCCTTCACAATGTTTCCTTTTCATGTTTTTGGGATAATGAGATCTTCATTTCAGGGTGGTTGTAACTAAAGTCCTGCAGCAGCTGCAGACGTGCCAGGGGGCTCCCAGGGTGTCCAGGGCACAGGAATGGAGTGTGGTCACAGGATAATTATTGTCTTGCTGCTGCCTCATGGATTGTTGGGGTCCTGGCGGAAGGGGTTGATGTAATTGTGTTAATTTTATCCATTAGTGCATCAGTGCAGAGCAGCTGATGAGCAGGGCTGGGCCACCCCCAAAAGCTCACTTGTTTCTTCATTAATTTTAAAGGTTTCTCACCCATGGGAACAGTTTTTCCCTGCTCCCAGCTGCTCTGCGAGCTTGGGTCCCTGGAGCTTTGCCAGGGAGAATTTCCTTGTCATCTTCCTGGCAGCTCTGGGTTCTGGCTCCAGGCTGGATCTTTCTCCTCCTTCTCCAGCTCTGGAGGATGTGGGAGCCTCTTGAAAAGAAATACCTCACATGGTTGGGAAAATCCCGTGGTGAGGTTGTAGTGCCCTCAGTGCAGACCTGGGGAGCGTTGGTGCCTCCGTGGGGAATCGTTCCCGCAGCGAAGCGACGAGCGCGGAACAGCCCCCACGGAGTCCTGGAGGCTCCAGGCAAGGCCTGGCTGGGGGTCACTGGTCGGTTCAGCAGGTGTTGGTGAGCAGCAAGAGGCTTTTCCAGTGCAGTTCCCATGAAGTGAGGCGAGTCCTGGTGAGGCTTCTCTGGAACACGTCATTTCTCACCAGCTCTCAGGGCAGCACTGGCAGGAGGGAGGGGAGTGGGCTGAGGGGCACCACGTCATTCTGGGATAGCCTGGAGAAGGCTCCAGTACTCCTGTTCTGCCTATAAATGGGCACTTGAGTTTCCCAGGTGATAAATTCAGCCCATTTTACTCTTGTGGAATGATGATCTTATGATGATCTTGTTTGGTCCCCTGTGCATCTACAGAGTATTTGAATGTCTGACTTAGGCAGTTGCTTTATCCACGAGGAAAAAGTGATCTGTACCTACAGTTCCAGCCTTTTTCTTTGCTTTTCTAGGGTGAATCATGATGTAAGTGCAGTTGTTTTCCCATGGTATTCTTACAGCTGGCTAGCTTCCTTCATTCAAAAGAAATTGCTTCCTTCAAAAAAGCAATCTCTGGCTGATTCTAGACCTTTCCATGGGTTGTCATCTCACAAAAGTTATGCTGTGGGCCTGCCAGGAGTGATGGAGCCATTGCTGGGAATTAGGTTAATTCCGAGCTCCGGGAATTACATAACGGCACAATTAAAGTTGGGGCTCAGCTGCCGTTCTCCCTCATGGCTGCAGGGGAAGTTTGGGTCAGTTCTTGGATTTCTTGTGGTGCATTTTGGTTCTTGTTGCTCTTTTGGTCTTCTCTGAGTTTGCCCTCGGGTACAGGGAACGTTCAGGGTTTGTGCACCTTGTGGGCTCGGGTTCAGTTCTGACCTTCACCGGCACGTTCCCGTGGGTGATTCCTCAGCCCATCCGTGCAGGTACTTGCATGTCCAGACTCGGGTTTCCCGGGCTCGGGGCTGCTGTGAGTCTCTGTGGTGGTGCCTGTGCTGCTGCACAGAGCCAACCTGGCACACTGGGGGAGCTGATGTGCCAGGAAACGGGCTCTGCTCTGCCTCGGCAGGTCAGCGCTGCCCAGCCGGGGATCACGTGTGTTACAGGGCAGTGTGTGTGACTGCTGCCCTGGGGAGCCTGTTCAGTGCCCCACCACCCTCTGGGGGAAGAACCTTTTCCTAATATCCGGTCTAACCTGCCCCTGACACAGCTCAGGCCATTCCCTCAGGTCCTGCGAGATTGGTGCTGCGCCTCCACTCCCCTCGTGAGGAAGTTGTAAATATATATTCTTTTATCTCTCTAAATCCTCACTCAGTGTCAAACCTCACCTGAGGAAGAGTCTCTCTCTAAGAGTCTCCCTGTGTATCTCTCTGGCACGCAGAGTGTTTAGCTTCTCTTCCAAGTCCTGGAAGAAGGGAGGGGAGAGTATTGTATGTCCAGTGGCAAACACGATGGCTAATTTTAAACTCTAGACATCTGCCTGCTGTAAACTGAATTGAGATCACCAAACTTATTTTACTCCAGCAGCTGAGTAACATCTGACAGCTGAGAATCTGGGTGGGATTTCACCCCAGAAATGCTGGATAAACATACCATATCCTATTAAAGAAAAAGTCTCTGCAAGAATTGCTCAGAAAAGGCAGGTGTGTTCCTTTTGTCAGAGCCTCACAGGAAAGATTGCTTGGCCAGGACAGGATTTTGGACCCTTCCTTAAATCCTGGCTATTTTAGGATTTTGTCACTGTTTCATAACAGAGGCAGGCGGTGGAGTGGGAGTGAGGGTCAGGAGAGCTGTGAGAGAGCGACTCTGCCACCTGCTTAGGTGCTGGATTTCTGTCAGTGGTGGTATTGCCTTGGCACGTCCCTGCCCAGGGGCTGTGCCAGCACACCTGGACCGAGAGCTGTGGGGTTACACATCCCCAGAGGTTCCCCTGACAGAAAATGAGATGCCTGCGTGGTGGGTCTGCAGGAATCTCTGTTGGGAGCTGGAGTGGGGGGGTGGAAGCCACGATCGGCACTCGAGTGGGGGCAGTGTGTGGAAGCTCTGAGGAGGAGGCAGGAGTTGTTAGGCAAGCGTGGGATTCTGTCACTGTGCGCAGGACAGATTCTCTGAGCGCTGCTGTGCTGGGAAGGAGCAGGGGCTGAGCTTTCAGCAGGGCATGGGGAGGAGAAGGAGCCTTGTGCTGCTTCCTCACTGATGCCTCAGAGTTTTTTTTGATCATCCCCACCAGCCAGGCAGTGAGCTCCATCCTGGGGCCTGGGCATGCGAGGGAGCGTCGGCACACACAGCTGCTGTTTGTCTTGGTGTGTCTCAAGCTTGGATCACACAAGCTTGGTGTGCCAGCGAGATCCGGGTTGGACATCAGGAAGAATTCTGTCACAGGAAGGGTGGTCAGGCATTGGAAGGGGCTGCCCTGGGAGTGGGAGAGTCCCTGTCCCTGAAGGTGTCCAACTGGTCGTGGCACTCAGTGCACTGGTCTAGTTGACAAGGTGGTGATCAGTCACAGGTGGGACTTGATGATCTTGGACGTATTTTCCAACCGAAATTATTATAAAAGAGAATAAAAGAGTTGCCTTGCTCGCAGGGAGAATCACTCCCACCAGGCCCTCCTGTGCCCGTGGTGCACGTGAGCCATGAAAGACAAGCTTCTTCCCCAGCCCCTTGGAGCAGTTCTTGCCCGTGTCTGCGTCCAGCGTGGAGTGGCCCCGCGAAGACACCGACCCTGTCACAAAGCCACCCATTGAGCCAGGGGTGTATTTTTAGCAAAGCACGATTCTTCTTCAGTGTCAAAAGTAGCAAGTGGGGAGCGCAGGGCCCAGCGGCGCGGGAGGCAGAATGAGCTCATTCAGGCCGCAGCATCTGTTTGGGGTGAAACAATCCCCAGTGAGATCAGGGGCTGCAGTTCTCCTTGTTGGAGCCGGAGCTGTGGTAAACAAGGGCTGTGTGCTCTGTGTGCTCCTATGTCAGCGGGGCACAACGGGGCAGAGCTGCTTCTGTCCTGGGGCTGGGAGCTCGAGCCCAGCCTGGCAGCTCCAGCAACTCCTTTCCCTTCGTGCTCTTGGGGTGATTTGCTGCTTCTTTCACAATTTTCATCACTAAACTTGGGCCGTGTGAGCAGCAGATAGCTGTGCTCTCCTTTCTGCCAGTGTCACACCAGGCACTGTGACTTGCTGATACATCGATCTGTGTTAAAATGCTTAAAAGGAAAATGGGCCAATAAAAAAGAGGAGAAAACGGTAATCCTTGTGTGGGGGTGTTTCTCTGGCATCTCAGAGTACCAGAGCTTTGTGAAAGTTGGTTTTGCATGGATATGTGTTCTTTCTCCCATTTTCCCAGCTCTTCCCAGCAGTTTGTTGCAGATGGGGTGCTCTGGCACCCAGCTGTGTCTATAAGGCAGTGATTCCTCATGACATGACAAGTAAAATTGCTAAAAGACTTGTGACTTGGGGCCTGCTGTGCCAGGCTGCAGTGGTGGCTCAGGTGAGTTCTGCCATTAACTGTTCACACTTTAAATTGTGTAACAGACACCTTCTGAGGGAAGGAACTTTCATAGGATCTGTGATTTTCTTTTCCATTTACCATTACAGAAACAAGAGAGCGGTGAAACTTCTTAATGCCCAGGTTCCAGAAGTGCAGAATTGCTGAGTAGTTTTTCCACTGTATTTGGATGTTTGATCTGTAATATTCAAAGGAGGTGGTTGTGTTTGGAAGCATTTTAATCAGACAAAGCCTGTGATATGGATCCATCCTGCAGGCAATCCTTGTGGTAGATGGTGCAGCCAGGAGGGTGCTGTGCTGTGCTGGGGCTGTGCTGGGTGCTGGCTCCTGAGGAGGAGCCAGGCTGCAGCATCTGCCTCAGGTGTGATGCTGGGAGGGCTGAGGCAATGGAGGGATGGCAGTGTCCTGTCTCCCACGGGTGAGTTAATCTGTTGCTGGAGCAGCAGCAGGAGGAGCTGCCTGGGGAGCCCGAGGCAGTGGGTGCGGGCGCTGCCCTTTCTCTCTGCTGCAGTTGTTACCATCCCATTTCAGCTGAGCACAGCGTGTGGCTCTGGGCTCTCCCAGAGTGTGACTCCTACAGGGCCATGGCATGGCCAGGCCAGGATGTAGCCTGGAGCAAAAGTTAAAACTGAAAGTGAAGAGCACTCTTCCCTGTGTCCATTGTTCTGCCAGCTGGGAAATCTTCGATGGCTCACTGAAAACAACCCCTGCATGAGATGGTTGTGTGGGAACAGCCAATGGCAGCCTGAGCGAGGCTGAAAACATGGGAACTTGTTCCAACACAATTCCCATTGTTCTCTCCCTGGTTGGCCTGCAGAGCATTGCTCGTGTTCCCAGCTCCAGCACCGTGGTGTGCACTCCCTCTCGGACTGCCCGTCTGGAAGGGTGAAGGGAGATGAGGGAAGAGAGAGAGAAGGGTTTCATTTCCCTCAGGGAAAGCTTTGCTTTCAGGAGTTTAAGGGAAGCTGCTTTAAACCATATGTTGTGTGTTTTTAAATGTCCCAAACTGTCTCTGCAAACGCTTGTTCTTGAGTGTGAGGACTATTTCTGGACCTGTTGCCAAGGCAGTGCCAAGCTTCTGCTGGAGGCTTGCACCCATATTTCTTTTTTGATTTAGCTGTCTTTTGAATGTGGAAACTGTTCTTCTTGGCCTTTGTTCCTAAGTACATGGGACTTCTGAGAGAGGCAGTGCTGTCTGTTGTGCTCTGCCTGTTGGAGGGGGCTATTGGATAAACCCCATACCAAAGAGTTCTGCTGGACTCTCTGAGGAGACTCAAGGGTGGTTTTAGGCTGCTGTTGCATCCCTGTAATATTTGGCCAGGAAATATCCGTTATCCCTGTTCATGACCCAGCTAAAGGGCTGGAGTATCTGAGAGCCAGCAGGACACAAGGTGTGCTGCTTTCCCCTGAGCAGTGTGTGCTGAGATCTCACAGCAATCAGCTACAAGCGTTTGGACCATTGAAGAGTTATTCTGAGGTTGCTTGGGGATCAAATGGTCAACATGGTCAGAATCCCTCTGAAAATGTGGTGTTTTGCTTCCTTTCAGAGAAGCAGAAGCATTCAAGGAGCAAGGAAACGCGTACTATGCCAAGAAAGATTACAACGAAGCGTACAACTACTACACGAAAGCCATAGGTGAGAAGAGCTGATGGCCATATCAGTCTTTGCTGAATACCACATCTAGAAATCAGAGCTGATTGCTGATTTCAAACACACCAGCAGGGTTTCTGACAGTACATGCTGGATGGAAACTTCTTGCCTGCTTTGATTACCTTGGGAAATGTTGCCAGATCGATAATGCCAGTCAGGGCCAATGTTCTTAATGAGTGTCACAAGCTGTGTAGCTGCTGCATTACACTGACAGTGAGTCTTGCATCGTCCCCAGATACCTGTCCCAATAATGCCAGTTATTATGGGAACAGAGCTGCCACGCTCATGATGCTGGGGAGGTTCCGAGAAGCACTGGAGGATGCTCAGCAGTCGGTCAGGTTGGACGACAGCTTTGTGCGGGTACGTGGAGAACTTGGGGCTCTTCGTTCAGTACCTTGTCTGCACCTGTTGCAGCTCTTGCAACTCCCTTTTATCTGTTCCCAGGGCCATCTGCGGGAAGGGAAGTGCCACCTTTCCCTAGGGAATGCCATGGCTGCCAGTCGCTGCTTTCAACGAGTTTTAGAACTGGATCATAAGAATACCCAGGCACAGCAGGAGGTAAGAGGGTCTTCAGATTTAACTGGCCCCAGGAGATGCTGAGGAGGCTAAGCTGGTCTTTCCCCCAGCTCTCCGGAGGAAAAATGGAGAGTGGTGTAAGTCAGCTGCCACTGTTTTGTCCCTTTCACAGGGTACATTTTCCTGGGCTACCAGTTTGGTCAATTAATTTCAAACTGATTTTAATGCCAGCAAAAGTATTCATGTCATCTGCATTATCAGCCCATGGTCTGCAGTAGATTTGGCTCTGACACTTCGGGGATTGACTTGGTGGCATTTCAGAGCAGAGTCTGTCCTGCAGCACTTGTGTGTTCTGTCTTTCAGCTGAAGAATGCCACGACCGTGCTTGAGTATGAAAAAATAGCCGAGGTGGATTTTGAGAAACGGGATTTCAGGAAGGTGAGATGAACTTGTTTGCTGTGGTCTTATATAAGAACTGACCTGGCCTGTGCAGCAAGGTGTGTGGCTGATTTCCCTGTCGGGTGTCTGGGAGGTGCTGTGCCACATCTGTTGAAGCAAGGCTGGCTGGTGAACTGTGTCAGCTGTGAAAGGGGCAGAGCTTGTGCTCCCTGAGCATCGACTGAATGACAAGTGAGGAGGTGACTGGCTCAGGCTGAGTGTCCTCTGTCACCATTTGCTTTGCAAGATGAGTGGAGCCACGAATGAGCTGTTTGTGACAGATTTTGTCAGCAGCAGCATTTAATCATGCTTTACTCCTAAAATGCATATCCAGGATTCTTCTTTCTCAGCTCTTTAAAAAAAACCAACAAAACAACAAAAACCCAGAGGCAGGCCATGTGCCAGTGAGGGTCACACAGGGAGCAATGCAGATCTGCATGGGGCACTCATCTTACTGCTTCCAAATCTTTCTTCCCAAGGGCTGTAAGAGGATGCAGCTGGTACTAACCTGATAGAACAAGAAACGACAGCATGAAATCTGAAAGGCACCAAACACTTCCCATGCAACTGTTTCTGTGCAGTGGATGCATGTAAGGCTCAGATTTGGCCCAGAAAGGAGATTGTCTGGCACACTGAGCTTGCTGTTCAGGTCACTGACTCTTAGGCTAAGCTCAAGATTTTGGAAGGGTAAATCCCATCATTGTACCCCTTGTTTCTGAGGAGCAAATGGGATGTGTAGTCAATCTGAATTTCATGTGTAGGAATTGCCATGCCTGTACTGGACATCCTGTGTCTGTCCCTCACTTCCCTGGTCCCACTCCACTGGGGAGGCTCACATGAAACGTGATCTTTGTTTCTGGAGAGCTGCTCCTGCTCCTGCCTCTCCCAGGAGCCCTTGGCTCTGGAGCACAGTGCTTCCCACAGCAGGGCCCGTGATGTCACGGGCTGGGGAGCAGATGAACCTTGGGGAACAATGCCCCGTTCTCGTGCAGATGTCCCCGCAGAGAGCAGGGATGGAAAAGACCCATTAGCTCACCCTGCCCATGGCTGGCAGGCCAGTGGAAGATCAGCTCCTATACTGTACTTTTTTGTGTTTTCTCTAGTCCAAACTGTCTCAATCTATTGAATTGCTGTCTCTTCCAAGTGTCTTTATACTGCAGGAAACAGGGGCAGGATTGTCCTCTTTGGCTCTTTCTTTAGGGCTTACAGTTTAGAAGAGTTAAAGGGGTGGACCTCCTACAGGTGTCCCTTGAGTCTTGTGTAGTGCTCTGTCACAGTAACACAGCAGATGCCTCAGATCTTGGCACACAAAGCCCTTTTAAAAGACAAAAAAACCTGCACACGAGGAAAATTTTCCGGTGAATGTGTCTCCAGCAGCCGCACTCACCTTCTTGGTCAAACACAAATCCCAGACGTGGTGTAGCTGTTCAGACTAGGCCGTTGGTCTTTGCTGTTGCTCACGCCTGTGGCTTTTCCCACCCCAGGTTGTGTTTTGCATGGATCGTGCTCTGGAGTTTGCTCCCGCATGTCACCGGTTCAAAATCCTCAAGGCCGAGTGTTTGGCGCTGCTGGGCCGGTACCCCGAGGCTCAGTCTGTGGCCAGGTGAGTGTCCGAGGGCTAGGGGGTGTCCTGGCTGCTGCCTGTGCTCCACACCCGGGGTAAATGAGGGAATATAAAAAAGAAATAGTCCTTAATGCACACTGTGAGGAGGAGGAGGAGGAATGTGTGAGTTTATCCCTGTTAATCTTCCCGGGAAGCTGCATCCAGACCCTGCTCCCAGCCAGCCGTCCTGCTCGAGCAGGTTCACGTCCTTTTGGCTCATCTGTACCATGGACTTGATAAAATAACCGGATAGCTGAGCAGAGGAAGGTGCTTGTGGAGGTCAGAAGGAGGCGGGAACGGGGAACATTTCCTTCCTTGCTGTTGCTGCAGTGATATCCTGCGGATGGACTCGACGAACGCCGACGCGCTGTACGTGCGCGGGCTGTGCCTGTACTACGAGGACTGCATCGAGAAGGCCGTGCAGTTCTTCGTGCAGGCCCTCAGGATGGCCCCGGACCACGAGAAGGCCTGTCTTGCCTGCCGGGTAAGTGGTGGAGAAGGGACTGCAAAATTACCAGGATTTGGGGTTTTTTTAAAGCAAACACCTGACTTGATTCAACTGGATCAATCCCTTCTCCCTCTCTCAGCATTATCATTCCCAGACCTCCAGGAGCAGGCGGTGTATCCAGCCCTTCCCAAAGACAACCCCATAAACCCAAGTTGCCGGAAGCTGTTTCTCAGGAGATTGTGATACTTCGAAGCTGCTTCCCCTTCACTCTTCTTTGTTCCCAGATACATCATTTTTAAAGGAACTCCTGACTTTCGTATCCAATATCCACCCACAGCCTGACTTGCATTTAACACTGTTCCTTCATGTTACTCCTTTCCTGGTGTAGTTCTTTAACTGACTTTTCTAATGTGTTCACATGTATAAGCCCTCAAAAAGTGAGCTCTCGGTCCTTTTATTTTAATCCTTAAATTTACTGCACTGTCATGTTCTCATCTTAAAAATTAGGCAACCTTTTTGCTGTGGAGAATGCCTGGAAATGGCACTGGTTCTTCCTTAGCGCTTCTCTTGGGGGAAAGTCAAAGTGCTTCCAGCTTGTTTCAGCTGCTGGAGCAAAACTGTGGCTTGTGTCCTGCAGTAGTGTCTGAAACCAAATTAGAACTGTTATGTTTGAGGGCCCTTGTCCAGCAGAACAAGGTGCTTGGTCCCCTTGAACCCTGACCTTGTGTCCTGACTCAGGTGTGTTTCCTTTCAGAATGCCAAAGCACTTAAAGCGAAGAAGGAAGACGGGAATAAAGCATTCAAGAAAGGCAACTACAAACTAGCATATGAACTGTACACAGAGGCACTAGGAATAGACCCAAATAATATCAAAACAAATGCCAAACTCTACTGTAACAGGGGGACGGTTAATTCAAAGGTAAGGGACGGTCACCTGGCAGGTGTCTGTTGTCATATCCCTCATCATGTCAGTGATAAACCACAAATCAGTTGTTCTGGGAAGCACAGGCTCCTCTGGCTGCTGGGCAGCTGCATCTCTCTGGGGCCATGGGCAGTGTGTCAGGGATTTGTGCTTGCACAACACTTGGGTCAGTTCCCGTCAGCCAGCAGTTGACTCCTGCAGAAACAAAACTCAAATATTTGCGCTGCACAGAGTGGGAGGGAGAGGAGGGACGTGCTGTAGCTTTATCTTAGTCAGCAAAAGGCATCCCTGTCCCTGTTTTTCCTTCCTGCAAATGAACAGCTTTATTTTCTTAATTCTTCTTGTAAGTCATGTCTTGGTTTGCTTTTTAATCTTAAAAAAAGACCTACTTTAAAGCCCCTGGATACTTCTTCCAGCTTTGCTATTGAATTTTAGTCCTGCACTATCCAGAGAAGCAGTCAGTCATGTGTCAGTGCTCCCAGTTCCCATCCAGAAACATATCTTCTGGGCATGTTTCCTCCTCAGCTGTCCCTCTGCTGCTGCTCCCCAGACATCAGCACTCGGTCAAGAGAACACAGGCTGTTCCCGAAACCTGGGAAGTGGGATGAACTGGAGACAACATAATAGATGTTTTACATGGCTGTTTGTGTCTGAAAACAAACAATTCTTTTTCTAAAAAAGATTTCTTTTAAATATTTTTAAGGTTATCTTGCTGTCTGGGAATTAGCTTGGATACAGAATCGGGATTGTTTTCAGGAAAACCCTTGGTTTTGAGTGCATTTCTTACACAGAAGCACCACGAAGCTCTGCCATGTCACTGGCCAAGCTTCTCATTTTTTCCAAGGGAGCAAAAGCTCAGTGTTTGGGGGGAATTGAAAAAAAATTCCTAGACCTAGGAACCAGTGAGATTTTTCCCAGATTCTTCACACCTTTCCTTTGCCTGAAAGCATGATGCAGAATTTGTTCTCTGTTGGGGATTTGCTCACTTCTGTCTGCCGTTGTAGCTTAGGAAACTTGAAGAAGCAATCGACGACTGCACGAACGCGGTGAAACTGGACGACACGTACATCAAGGCATACCTGAGGAGGGCACAGTGGTGAGTGCACCTTGGCACGGGCACCTGAGCAGGTGTGTGGGCAGGAGTGTCCTCCCGGCAGCTCTGAGGGACGGGGTCACAAATCTGGAGTTTAACTGAATGGAAGATTCTGCACTGAGGGGTCCTCAGTTTATTCCTTTCCCTACACTGCTGAGGAGATGAGGGAAGCTCCCACAAGTAGCAGGTGTCTGGGCTCCCTGGCAGTGGCCCTGTGTGGGCCCCTCTGATGACTCTGCTGCAGTCCAGGGCATTTCTCTTTCTTAATCAACATCCCCCCAGACAGCTGTACTGAGCCCTCTTTGATGTTCCTATGAAGGACACCTTGACCACCAGTGTTTCTTTCCACAGTTACATGGACACAGAACAATATGAAGATGCTGTAAGAGACTATGAGAAGGTTTATCAGACAGAGAAAACAAAAGGTGAGCACATGGGCACTCTGTGTGTGTTCACACTTTTCTCTTACTTGCCAATTTTTTTTGTTGTTGCTTTTTTCCCCACAATATGCTCTGATTTGCAGCCTTTTACCCCAGCAGAACAGTATGGAGAAGCCCTTGGAAGCACTGGAAATGCCTGTCTCAGGTCTGGTTTCTCTCCCAGCATTGAATGCTGAGACGATAATTGAGCTTGTGGCTGAGACAGTGCACTGAGTTCAGAATGTCTGGTTTTGGTTCTCATTTTAACTGTCCCCTTGCTTTTTGAGTGGCCTGAAGTGGGTAGGAGAAAGTAACCCCTCTCCTCTGGCCTTGTGCTCCTTTCCAGAACACAAACAGCTCCTAAAGAACGCACAGGTGGAACTGAAAAAGAGCAAACGGAAAGACTACTACAAAATCCTGGGGGTGGACAAAAATGCCTCTGAAGATGAGATCAAGAAGGCTTACAGGAAACGAGCACTAATGCACCATCCAGGTACCCAGAGCAGTCCCTGTGTGCCCTGTACAGCCATCACTGAGGCAGGAATGCATATGGGAGTGGGAATTTCTGGACAAATGGCAGCTCTGACCCCACAGATTTAGAGCATGTGCTGGGACGGGAGTTTGGGAATGTTTGTTTTCCATTTGCACTAGAAATTAATAACTTCTTCCTGCTTGTTTGTGTATCCACAGATCGACACAGTGGGGCAAGTGCAGAAGTACAGAAAGAAGAGGAGAAGAAATTTAAGGAGGTTGGTGAAGCCTTTACAATCCTGTCAGATCCCAAGAAGAAGGCCCGCTACGACAGCGGGCAGGATCTGGAAGAGGATGGATTGAATATGGGAGGTCAGTGTTCCTTATGATGCTCTGGCATGGCAGCCTTTAACAAGATCAGACCCTTAAGAGTCTGCCTTAGGCCCTAAAGCAAGCCTCCCATTGGGAATAATTCCATGAATTGATTCAGTTTGGTTGCTGAAAGCATTGGGATGGCAGAGCTGCACTGAGTGTTTCCAGTTGGGAAATGGCTGGGACACTGGTGGGTGTTGTCTTTGGCTGAGTTGGTGGGCAGTAGCTGCCATTAGGCAGAAATCTATCACAGGACATGTAAAGTAGTGTAACTGTGGATCCCTGAATGCTGCTTATCCAAACCCTTAGGCTGCCTCCTGACAGGTTCTCCCTGTGACAGCTGCTTTTACCTGTTTGCTGCTGCTGTGCCAGGGCTCGGAGCCAGCCCTGTGTCCCTGCTCACCCCCTTTGAAACCCTCTCAGTGAACTGACAGCTCCTGAACTGTGGGAGTGTAACTGGCTGCTTCCCTGCAGCTCATGAATTCCTTCTCTTCCCTGTAGACTTTGATGCAAATAACATCTTCAAGGCCTTCTTTGGCGGGCCGGGAGGCTTCAGCTTCGAAGGTAGGTGAGGTGTGCTCCTGCCAGCCTTGGAGTCGTAAGTACATGGAATCCCTGACAGGGCAGCTGGGGCTCCCAGTGGATGTGCTGCTTGAGGAGAGCATGGGAAGTTCTGCCTGTACAGCCTCGGCTGGTGGCTGGTTCTGGTTGTTTTGGGTTCAAAAGCCACAAGGGCCGGGCGTTCCCTGTTCTGGAGGTGTGTGTGGGTGTGGCCATCCGTGTGCTGCTTCGGATTGCACTGAACTGTTTTGTCTTTGAGTTTGGAAAGTCCTGATATCTCCCATTTTCTTTTTCAGCTTCTGGTCCTGGAAATTTCTTTTTCCAGTTTGGCTAAGAAGCAAACAAACACAAATAAAACCACACATACCTGATCTGCTTCTTTTAACCTCGAGTACGGACAGCCCCAGACTCCTCCTCCATCACGTCTCGTTGTCCTTAGAGCAGTTTCATTTCTGGGTTGGAGCCTCTGTTTGTGTGTTGTGTGCGTGAAGAGGAAACCAGCTCGGGAGGGGAAGGCTTGTGAATTTTGTTTTACTGTTAACTTTATTAAAAAAAAAAAATAAAAATAAAGCTTTGAATCTTTTGGTCCCTCCATGCTGGCCCATGCTTTCAGCTGCTCCTGCCCCTCAGCACAGAGGATTTCCCGGCATTTTCCCGGAATCTCCATGTGTGAGAGGGTGAAGGAATCTCCTGGTTTATTTTGGTTGGCTCTGAAGCAGCATGTCCAGGGTTTCGAGTAACTTGTAAGTTATCCTAATTTTTTGGAAATATTGCCAACACTCAATCCAGTTTTGTACAATCCTGTTTCACCTGCCAGCTGGATTTTTGGCTCTTTTTATTTCTTTTTTTTCCCATGGTTCTCCCAAGGTCCACTCGGGCATTAACTTTAGTGATAATGTGTGAGCTTACAATTCTGTATCAGAGAAATGCTGCTTTGAGTTTAAAGAGCAGCTTATGTGAGAATTCCCTGTGATGCAGCTGGAATTAAGGGCTTTGTGTTCCCAGGATTGTCCTGTTTAAGGGAATATTGAATTTGCTCTGGGCTGAATTCCTTCACTGTACTTTTTTTAATTAATCCACTTGAATATTTCATATTTGTGCTGAACTTGATTTTGTTGAGCTTGATGTGTGATTTCCTGTTACTGATCCATGATGTGGGTGAGTCTTTCATTGCCAAGTGAAGTTCAGGCAGGGATTGTGGGTGGTTTGAGATGTGCAGTGCTGAGCTCCTGGTGTGCAGCAGCTGGGCTGGTTGGTTAACCTGGCCAAGTGGTTTTCTCCTGGCAGTGATTTACTCATCCAAAGCAGCAAGGAAATGCAAAGCCCAGCTCTGAACTGACAGTCTCTACTCACTTCTCTTGTGCGGTGTCAGGATGGGAGCTGGAGGGATGGATGAGCTTCTGGCCCAGAGCCATGTCCAGATGGATTTGGTTTTCACTTAAAAGGTGGTGTTGCAGCAGGATCTTACCTGGGAGAGGGCTCTGCTCCTGGAATTCTCCCCTGTTCTCTAGAGAGTGGAGAACCTTTTTGCCCGGGTGCTCTGAGTTCAGTCCTGTCTGTGGAGGGTTCATGCTCAGCATGGGGTGTGAGGGGAGCAAGAGGCAGCAGGGCCGTGGCTGGGGATCCTGGGCTGGTGCTCAGTGAGGGGCAGTGGGGCCATGGCTGGGTCCTGGGCTGACCTGGCAGTGCAGGGCCATTGGAGGCCAGAGTTTGCTCAGAGAAGGGGTGTTGGTGCTCACAGGCCGGGCTGTGCGGAGAGAGAACCTGACACTGACTCTGTGTAACACCTGACTTACCTTCCTTCTGCAGGAACAAACACTGCAGTGAGTTCATTGCACGAGGTGATGGCTCTGAATGCCATGTCTTTGTCTTCCTCCCTCCCGAGGGCTGTGCGTGTCCTTCCAGCGGGACAGGGACCAGCATGGGGCTGCAAGGTCCCAGTGGTTCCAGCAGAGACAGTGCTGTTGTGGTCCTGCTGTGGTCTTTGGTCAGGATTCTTGACAATCTGCTTTCGTAGAGGGAAAATTTAAGGGCTTAAATTTTAGCACTGCAGAATAGAGTATTTTACAACTCACTTGAAACTCAGCTTTCCAAGTGAGCCAGTGCTGAGTAATACTTTCAAAACCCGACTCTACCATGTTTATTCCAAGGTCCTTCACACCAGTGTGAGGGATTGAACCCACCCAGGTGCACCAAGAGCAGTTGGGTCCTGGCACCTTTCAGGCTCCAAAACGGTGAATCCCTGGGGAACCGAAACCCTGGTCTATGCACATCGATCCTCCCCCAGCTCTCCTGGCACTGTAAATCAGTTTACAGGGCTTCTCTAGTGGTGTTCCAGATCCATGATGTCTCGTTCTCTGTGTGTTGTTGTCACTGTACAGTCTGGGCTGTTCTCAGTCTCCCATTGCTGAGCACAGCCATGTCCTGTGTCTGTCAGTGGGTTTGTTCTCATTTCCCCCTGCCCCAGGGAAGTGCAATCTGCTTCCTTCCTCCCTTCCTTCTCTCCAAGCTGTGAGTGAGCCCATTCCTTTGAGCACAGGAGTGGGATGGCTCTGCTTCTGGGAGAGAAAACGTATACAGCAGCTATTTATAACCTGTACATGAATGCATGATTTAATGTAGTTAAATATTCATATGGTGAGTGCCAAGACTTTCTACGGAGCGTTATTATGTGAGTCAAAGTGAAGGCACAGAACCACGGAACAGTTTGGGCTGGAAGGGACCTTTAAAGGCCATCGAGTCCAACCCCCTGCCATAGGCAGGGGCACCCTCCACTAGGATGCCCTGAGCTCTGTCCCTGTTCCTCTCTGCACAGAGCGGGGCTGAGCAGGTTTTGGTGGCATCCAGCACCTCAGGGCAGCAGCAGCACAGGTGGCACTGTGACCTCCATCGCGTCCCAGCACAGCCTGGGGGCATGGGACTACTTCTTTCCAAAAAATGTGCTCAGATGAGTGTTGCTTGGAGCGTTGCCTCCACACACAGAGGTTATTGTCTGTGGGTTGTGGTTGTGTGTAGCCATAGGAAACAGGAGTGCCACTGCTCCAGCTGCTCGCAGCCCCCCTGCATGTCCTCTGGCTCCACGGGAGCCACTGGATGTAGGGATTTGCCACAGACACTGTGATTGTAGTCTTCAAGGGATGTTGTCCCTGAGCTGTTTCTAGAAGGACAAGGAGCTGATGGAGGTGCAGGAGGCAGGTGCTTCATGTGCTGCCCCTGAGGCACAGGCGTGGTGGGATGGACATGATCAGGTGTGGTCAGACACTTCCTGCTCCTTGGTGTCACTCCTGGCCAGCTCTGGCCTGGCAGCTCCTGCCCAGGGTCCCCCAGGGGGGAATGGCTGGTGCAGTGAGAGCTCCTGCCAAATGGGAAAGACCTGGAGAGAGCAGAGCTGCCATGGCTGAGGGCAGACCAGGCTGGTGTGTTGGGGGATCTTCCACCAGTCGTGCTGGGAGTATTTGTTCTGAACAGCTCAAGAAGCAGCTGTCAGCTTCTCCAGGAAAGTTGTCAACTACAGGAAAAGTGTGTGGGGAGTGTGGCTGTGGGCAGAGCTGGCCTGTGTGGGCTCTGCTGTGGGACTGCAGTGTTTGCAGGGAGATAGGAATTGTTTGGCTGTTAGACTTTCCCTTGGATGTGGTTTTGCCTGATCATGCCCATGGAATCATGGAGTAGTTTGGGTTGGAAAGCTGTGAAGACCATTCAGGGGGTTCTGGTCACCCCCTTTGACTGGCTCCTTGTTGCTTTGGCTACACAGAAGGTACCAGATTTGTTGTTTGAACACTCCAGGAGTGTTCAGTGAGCAGGATCCCCAGTGCTGACAGCTGCTGTAAATACAGGAATGCAAGTTGGAAAACAGGAGGAAGAAAAAAATGTTCCGGGACAACAGTATTATCCATTATCCACGGAATAGTGGGTCCCACTCTGTATCTGCTGGGATACAGAGTGGAAGCTGCTGTGCTGTCGTGGTGTTTCTGGCACAGAGGCTGGTCCAGCTCTGGTGCCAGTCCCTGTCCAGCTGCGCCGGTCCCAGTTCCGCAGCCACCAAACAGGGTCGGGCCACGCGCTGCTTTGCCACTTCCAAATGACTTCCTCAGTTTCAGTAATAACTCTACATCTTCCCTTATCTCCAGTGGATGGTTTTCATCCTGTTTAAATTCGTGCCTTGTCCCTAGGGAACAGGACGCCCCTGTGCTGCACCCACCCCATCCCTGGAGCGGTGCTGGTCCCCAGGCAGCTGTGGCAGGGCTGTGGCAGGGACAGGTGGCAGCAGCTGGAGGGGCCATTCCTGGGCGTCCCTGTGCCCCAGGCCCTGTGTGACTGTAGGAGCTGGCATATAACTCTTTGGCCTTCCTGCCAGGCCCGGCTCTCCCCCTGCTGCTGTCAGGGATGGGGTTATCCCTTCTCAGAGCAGCGTTGGGTGTTTTCCCTTGCCCAGACCTGAGCTCAGAGGGACAGCTCTGGTCTGTTGCTGGGAGTGGGGAGCTGGGACACTGCACCTGAGCTGGAGCATGGAGGATGGCCTGGGAGGACAGGATCTGTGGAGAGCCTGGCTGCCATCCCAGCCTGTCCCACTGCCCCATCCCCATCCCTGCTGTCCTTAATGGCTCGTGTGGACAGAGTGTGGTGTGAGGTAGAGTCAGAGGGGCTGCGTGCGGAGCACCCCAAGCCCCTCAGTGCATGTGAGTCGTGGTGGTCACGACGTTACAGAACAGTCAGGACAAATCCAGGCGCCGATGCGAAGCCACTTGGAGAGGAGCTTGTCCCTGCGCTGCCGTATTTATCTGAATTGGAATTCGGAATGTTTACCTCAGTGTACATAGCTCAACCTTTCCCTGGGAGGAAAGGGGAATTGCATGGAGCAATCGCTGTCCCATCGCTTTGCCAAACTCCTCATCCTCTCCCAGCCAGGCTCCGTGTCGGTACTGACTGTCCTGTCCCTCTTGGACCTTTCTAGGATGTGAATGGTAAAAATGTGAATATTTGTTGTTTACTTCCTTAGCAGAACTCCTGATGCTGTGTTTGTATGGGGAATCAGCCTGAGCAGACCCATATGCAATCGGTTTTACTTTATTATAAACTGTATATGATGTACAAACTAATAAAAACTCAAACGACGACAGTGTCACTGTTGTTCTTGAACAGGCAGATGAAGGAGATGTTCCAGCCGTGCATTCCAGTGCTGGAGTGATCTGGATGCTGGGGGTGTGGGCTCAGTTGGCCCCTGGGCAGGTGCTGCCAAAGGGTGTTTTTGAGCTTTGTTGGAGCAAACCCTTGAGGTTCTGTCAGGAGAGGCCCTGGCTGAGCATTGGGCACTCAGCTGCCACTGGTGTGGGAGCTGGAAGGATTTCTCCATGGAGGGCAGGGAGGGTCACAGGTGATCTAGGTGGGTTTATAGCTCACTTTTTTTTATGTTATAATGGGAACTTATTATCATTCTTCATTTTGGAACAGCAGGAACTATTTTGCTTTCCTAGCAGAGTGTTTGGTTCCAGACAAGCCCCAGAGCTCTCCCTGCTTTTGGCCTCAACGTTTGGAGGAGAAACACTCCTTACCCCGGCAGTGTTGGGCTCGGGCGAGCTGTGCCCAGTGACAGCCCCAGCCCAGCCCAGCCCACGCCTCAAACACGGTCAGTATTTACAGTGTTAGTGTGGGTTAATGTCACTCTGCAGCTCCCCAGGCCCTGAGCCAGAGCCGGAGGCCGAGCTGGGACCTGACCTGGGACCATCAGTGGAGCTTCATATTAAATAGTGCCCAGGAGCCACCGCCCTGCTGGACCGGGGCCTGGTGGAGCACAAACACAGGTTTCAGTCAAACATTTAATGACAGAAGTGCTGGGTCAGTAACTTCCAGCCAGGGTTTAGGTTTGAGCAGACTTGAGTTATGCGGTTACGGTGCCTCCGCTTCCTACACTACGGGGTTACTCCAGCCTAACTCTTAACATTCAGGTGCATTAGAGGAAGGGAGTAAAATCTTGCATGAAGTGCAGTTCTGTACTTCAGACATGATTTTAGTTTCTATCAAATAAGATGGAAAAGATGTTAGTTCATCTCTTCCACTCCCTGCCAAGGCAGGATTGTTCCCTACAGGACAAGGACATGGGACAGTGCT